GTTCTAAAAAAATTAAAAAAATCCAATGTTTACATCCAACAGTCCTGAAATCCTGTGAAAACGAAGATCCTCTGAAAATATATGTTAACAAACTCATTTGAAAAAAATCATTAAAGAACTAAGTTCCGACCATAATTTCCGCAAGTTTTCAAAAATACACACTAATGGCTCTAAAGATGATATGAACAAATATTTAATAGGCCATGTTTTAAACGCCAGAAGAAAAACTTTAAAAACTTCCAAATTATAGTGCGGAAGTTTCTCCAAAAGTACATAAAAATTCAAATTTTACAAAATTTTTAATACATCTAAGTTCATTTCTTTGGAATCAAATAAAAAAAATAAAGATTCTCCGAAAAAAACTGAAAAAACTCACATTTGTAAAAATGCTAAATATCATAAACTACTAAGGCTAATAATACTCCCAATAAATTATTAAAAAAAATCTTCTTCAAAACCATACAAATTTGTAAAAAAAAAAAAATAAATTAAAAAATCATCTGCAAAGAAAACTTAAAAAAGAATTGACATTTAAAAAAGCCATGTTTGCTTTTCGAAAGATTCTCCAAAGAATTCTCTAAAAATCTAGTATTGTAGAGACTCCTCATTTGAAATTCGGAAGTTTCTCTAAAAATTTATAAATTCCAAAATTCAACGATTTAAGAATTTAAAAAAAATCCACGTTAGAAGTTTGTAAGACCCTATTAAAAATGCTTTAAAATCCTCACGTCAATAACTCTCAAGACCCATTGAATAGAATCATTGCATCGTTGAATATTTTCTGAATAATAAACATGGTTCCAAAACTCGACAAAGCTATTTAAAAAAATCTTAAAATCTTCAGCAAAAATGTTTTTGAAGGGTCTCAAAAATTTTGGTAAAAAAATATATAACTTGGAATTCAGAAAAAAAGTTTAAAGACACACTTTTTTTATCTTGGAAGGTTGTATTTTGTCACAACCTTTAAACAAATGCACGTTTGTAATTCAGAAAAAAACTTACAAAAATTGAAAAAAATCCGGGTCAATATTGCCGTAGAGTATCTTAAAAATACTCAAATCATTAGCAAAAAATCGGATGGAATTGTTGAAATTAATGACTTAGTTTCTGGAGTTCCTGGAAAATTTCTATTAAAAACCAACGTTTTTATTCTTGAAATTCCTCTAGAACGTTCTCAATAGCCCAAGCAAAACAAAGACCCAGGTGACCCTTAAAAAAATTGAAAAAGATCTACGATAATCAAAACTATGTTTTCAAAACTGGATATGTCCCATAAAATATACTGTTTAAATATTTTCTAAAACACTCCGAAAATATAAAAAAACCCTTAAAAAACTCTTAAAAATTCTAAAAAGTTTAATTCAGAAGGTTATCTACATATTTAAAAAATAAAAAAACAGCACATATATGGCTCTAAAGATCGCCATAAAAATTAAATATTTCAACCCAAAAAATTATTTTTAAAAAGTTTAAAAAAAAAGTTTGAAAAAAAAAAAAAATAAAAAATCTGTCAATAGACAAAATGCAATATTATAACTAGTATAATAATAAAAAAAAATATTAATTAATAAAACATATTTTTTTTTTAATTTTAAAATATCTATGAAAATGATTCACGAAAATCATACACTATAAAATATAGTTTTTAAAGTTGTTAAAAGCGCTTGCAGAATATTTAAAAGATATCTACGATTAACTCCAAAATCTCTTTTTAAAAAATAAAATTAAAAACTTTTTTTCGATTACAACATCGAAGGCCCTTTCAAAAAAAAAAAAAAAAAAAAAAAAAAAAAAACGGCACCAGCCAAAAAACAACGATTTGGTCTCCAACAGTTCACTTAAAAAAAATTAAAATATATTTATATATTTAAAACCCCTTTAAAAACATTGTTTTGACAACTGCAACATGTTCATGGAAAAAAAATATTTCAAAACGAGAACCATGGTTATATCTCCGTGAGTCATTAACAATATTAAAAAAAAATCCATAATTATACCTTGGTTGATCTGGTAAAAATATTTTAAAAAATTGACATTTTTATCCCTTAAAATATCCCTGTATATTCAAATTCATAGCCCTGTTAATCTTAAAGTGTATTTACAATAGATTGTTTATTCATGGAGCAATACTATTTTCCAATATCAGTAAACTTTTATTTTTCCAATGTGTTGTTAAGAAAACAAACAGCCCAGACTGGCCATGACCTGTGGAAAGAAATCAATCTCTTGGATTGCCAGGGAATCTGTAAAACTGCGCAATTTATTTCTTTGAATTGTGTCGGGATTTGTTTATTATTTCTTCGCCCTGTCAACATCGCAATACCTTTTTATTGTTTACATGGTGTGACGGATTCTTGGATTTGAGAATTACTTGCGTGCGTACAGTCTTTCTCAGATAGGAGATGGAAAGTAACATGGATGTATTTAAAAAAAAAAATCTGAGATTTGATATTTAGATTACTGACAGTATATGTGTTTGAGATTAGGCGGTGGTTTTGAAATGCATAAGATGCATTTGTACGAGAAGTACTAAATGGTACTAAATTTTGTATTGTTTGAATGGTTAAAGTTGGAGTCTCAAAATTTTACATTGAGATCTCTGTTGGTTTCTGGTGTTGAGATCTGATCGTTGTTTTAAAAATGCGTATTACAATTGTTACTAAATGGTACTAATTTTGGATCACTGTTAGTGTCTAAAATGGAGGAATGTAGATTGTATTGGACATGCGTACTAAATGTTAATATATTTGGTACTGGGCGAATGGATAGAGGTGAAATTCAAAATTTGATATTGAGATCAGTGTTGATCTCCAGCGTTTACATTTTCCTATTATTCTTTCCGAAAAAACAAAAAAAAAAAATTTTAAAATAATTTAAATCATAGAAAGACTGAAAATTTACCACGATGTATGAATTTTTGATTAAAAACTTTTGTCAAACTGAACAAATTGTGCGTTTTGAGTACTAAAAACACCCTTTTAAACTGCAAAATACAAAAAACACGCTTATATTGAAAAATGCACTACAAAAGACGTACAAAGCCTTAAACCTTTTTTAAATATTTTAAAATTACTCTTCTATTATATCTCCAAAAATCGTGCAAATTTGTTCAATGCCAAAAAAAAATCTTTTCAAAATATTTTCACAAAGAAGTCACAAGAACTCCAAAAATTGTACAAAGTCTAAGACCCCTTCCAAAAATTTAAAAAATTTCTAGTCTATCTAAAAATCTTCAAAATTTTTCAATGCCAAAAGAAATCTTTTCAAAATATTTTCACAAAGAAGTCAAAGTTACGTCTTTAAAAGCCCTTTTAACTACAAAATCCCAAACCCCAGTACATGAAAAAAAAAATATATTTTTAATCTGAATAATAAATCCATATAATAATTAAAAAAAAAACCTTTTAAAAAAATGTTTAGAATACAAAAATACTACGAAAAAATTTATTAGAAAAAACCTACCATCAAATCCTTACAACCCCCTTTGGGAAATTAAACAGACCATTGAAAGGCATAGTCCGGTAATATTAGCCAAATAGTTGAAAATTCTACGATTATGTTTTTTTTTTTTAAGTTTAAACCACAACCAAAAAAATTAATAACACTTTCAGAAACATTAAAAATCTCGATTAAATCACCATATGTCACCAAATAGTTTTTAAGAAGTTAAAAAAGCAGGTAAGATCTGACGGGCCTTCCATTTGGAAGGAACTTGGAAATTTTCAAAAATTTCCGGAAACTACCACTTAAATGAAAAATGTTATATGGAGATTATATGAAGACCTGGGGGACCTGCTTACGATTTTTTTGCCATAGGCTGTAGTACCCATTACGAACTTCAAATACGAAATTTGAAATAATTCCGGTAAATAATGTCGGTGAAATCATGAAAATACAGAATATCGGGAGTTACCGTTATATGGGGGCTATACCAAAACGTGGACCTACATCACCCATTTTCAATACCAAAAGTTCTGCAGACATTATACACATTTGAGTAAAATTTTATGAGCCTACTTCATTTCGTTAGGAAGCTAAAGTGATTTATACAGACGGACGGACATCGCTAAATCAACATAGAATTTTATGCTGATCAAGAAAATATATATATATATATATATATATATATATATATATACGGAATGACAAACTTAATGTACCCTCCATACTATGGTGGAGGGTGTAAAAATTGAAATATTTGTATAAATAAAAAAGTTCCAAAAATATTACAAATAATCAAAAAAAAAACAACAATTTTGAAAAAAAATGCAAATTTTCGAGTAAAACACTATTTTAATTCTAAAACTCTTGTTAAAAAATAATAATGTAATTTTTCTATACACAACAAGACAAAATATATTTAAAAAAAAATTCACAACTATAGCACTTAAAAATATTTTAAAGTATCGTTTGAAAACTCCTTCAAACACAAATATACGAAAACCCAGCTAAAAAACACCTAATATTTCTATTTTTTTTTTTTTTTGTACGAGTAGACCTCTAAGACCTCCTCAAAAATATTCCTAAAAGTATTTTTTTTTTTTTTTTTTTGAGAAATAAATGAAAGGAATTAAATTAAGTATTATAAGTCGAATATTTTTTAGTTTTATATAAGACATTATAAGTCGAATATTTTTCAGTTTTATATTTCAAACTAAATGAAAAATAATCCAGAGTCTTGGCTCAGGTATTTAATGAGGAGGTTGGATAACCAGTTCTGTTGCTTAATTTGAGGCCTGCTTTAAATTTTTTTTACAGAATATTTTTTCAAATCATTTTTAATAAATATTCAAAATATTTTTTAGATAACCAAAATTTACATTTGCTCTTAACTCCTATATTTACTGCAATTTTTTAATAGAATCTGGGAAAATTAAACCAGTTCTGGTGCTTAACTTGAGTTTTGCTTTCAATTATTTCAGAAACATTTTTTTAATTTTTTAAATAATATGATTTTTACGAATATTTAAAAATTTTTAAGATTGCTTTATTTTGCTTACCTCAATATATAGTTGTTTTGAAAATCGTTGAAGAGTAGTTTTAATTTTTTTGTCTTCTTAAAATAATTTTTTACGTTTTTTCTGGGGTTTTTATTCTTGAGTTGAATTTTTTTTTTAATTTTTTTTTTCCTATAAATTTTATTTTTTTATTTGATTTTCAAACACACACCAACCTATAAAAAAAATTTGTATTTGTTTTATATTTATTATTCTTTTTATTTTTAAATATTTATTACAATATTGTATTAATATCTTTTTAAAAGAAATATCTTCAAAAATTTTCACTGTTTGTTCTTTTTTCCAAATCTCACTTAAATTCTGAGAATTATTATTATTTTGGCACAAAATTTTCACAGTTTTTTTTTTTCAAATACCACTTAAATTCTGAGAATTAATATTATTTTGGCACATCAATATTTTTGTCACTTAATTATTTTTTATTATTTGTTTTTTTTTTAATTGTTTTCCTGTTGGTTGTTATTTTTTTTTTTTTTGTATTTTTTTCTTCGATTTTTTCTTAAATTTTTTGTTTAACAAAATTTCAGGTAAATTACCTTTCTTTATTTTGTTTATTTGTTTTAAAGATAATTTTTGCGTTAATTGTTTTGAGTGTGAATGGGATTTTTTCAAATTTTATTTTTTTAATTCTTCTTCTTCTTTTCTGAATTTTTTTGTATTTATTTTTGGATATTAATTCAATTTTATGTAGATATTTCGGGTTTGGATTTTTTGTGTAATTTTTTTTTCTTCAATTTTTGGGAGGGATTTTTATTGAAACCACTTTCGGAGACAACGGCTCGGGAGCGAATAATTGCGTTTTCATTCTGAGAACATTATTTAAGACCTACTACGCGAGACACCACAACACCAATTTGACGACTACAACGACGACTACGACTTCTGGCTGTGGACATTGTCTGACGGATACGACGTGAGTGAGTGTGGATGGACAACAGCGACTCAACGACGACGACGACAACAAAACAGACAACGGCAATGGTTGGTTGGTTGGATTGGTTGCTTTGCTGGCTGACTGGCTGGCTGGTCATACACGATTTTATTTCAATTTTTTTTTTTCTTAAGCAGAATTTAAATTGAAAACAATTGAGAATAGCGTAAAAAAGTAACTCGCAATGAGACAAATACGGCCATATGGAATCACACGCAAAAAAAGTGAAAAAAGTATTATTTTTTTGAAATTCAGAAACACTACTTGGCGGCTGAATACGACGTCAACGTCTATAGCCACTGGGTTGGCCGAAAAGCAAAAAAAAAAATCGAAAATCACACAAAACACAGATAACGAACGCATTTCATGCCACAACTACTGCAGCAGGACAGCATTGTAATCAGTGTACGTACATAGCCGATTAATGGCCAGCATTCAATCGCCACTGCAGCACTGCAATGGCCGACCATGGTCTGGTTTACGCATTGCCTGAGTTTGAGTGCTGCAGCATCATTCGCTGCATCCGATGATAATTCTGCTTTCGCATCGTCTTGCCCTAAGAATCCATGGCCATTTACATTGATTTCTTTATATATTGATCATTGGTTGGCTGATAAAAGGGCCCAAAGACCATAAATCCTTAACAGAGTTGCCATTTCATGGCATTTTTGGGATATAAAAATTTTTTGGGATATAAAAAATATATGGTCGGTTTTTATACCCTCAGCCATATGGCTAAAATGGTTATATATCATATATATACGGCCAAAACGTGCCCCATTGAATTTGCGGTTTTAGATCCAAGGCTCTTTGGTCCAAATCCATTTCAGCACATTTGGAGTCGATATAGAGATTTCCGTCCGTCTGTTTTTCTAGCTGGTGGGCACGATAACTTTTGAAGGAAGTATCCGATTTGATTCAAATTTGGTACATCGTAATATTATTATCAAACTTAGATCGTGTTCGGAGATGGGCAACATCGGTCCACTCCTTCTGGTACCTCCCCCACAAAAGGTCAAAATTTTCAATGTCAATAATTTATTTCATAGAAAGAGAAAGGGACATTGGATTTTGTTCAAACTTTGCAAATCCCAATATTTGCATCAGTACTACATCAGGTGCACAAATGGACAATATCGGTCCACTCCATCAAAGGGTCAAAATTTGGAATAATAATAACTCTTATAAAAATTACTCACATGAGAATATTTTCATTAACCCGAGGTCTGGTGTGAAGATGAAATATATTGGTCCTCTTCTTCTGGTACCTCCCCCACAAAAAGGTCAAAATTTTCAAAGAAAATAATTTACTGCACAGAAAGAGAAAGGATCATTCGATTTTGTTCAAACTTTGCAAATTACAATAATTGCATCAGAGCTAGGTCAGGTACGAAAATGGACGATATCGGTGCACTCCAGCAAGTACCTCCCCCACAAAGGGTCAAAATTCGAAAAAATTATAACTTTTATAAAATGTGATCTAAGAGTCCGATGGTCTTTAAATTACACACATCACAATATTTTTATTAACCCAAGGTCTGGTGCGAATATGGAATATATCGGTCCACTCCTTTTTGTACCTCCCCCACAAAGGTAGAAATTTTCAACAAAAATATATTTTTGCACAGAAGGAGAAACGATAATCCAAATTTGCTCCAACTTTGCGAATACTTATATTTGCATCAGTGCTAGGTCAGGTGCGAAAATGGACAATATCGTTACACTCCATCAAGCACCTCCCACTCAAAAGGGTCAAAATTATGAATAATTATAACTCTTATAAAATATGTGGTAAGAGTCCGATAGTCTTCAGATTACAAAAATCGCAATATTTTTATTAACCCAAGGTCTGCTGTGAAGATGGATTATATCGGGCCACTCCTTTTGGTACCTCCCTCACAAAGGGTCAAAATTTTGAATATCCATGAAAGCTTATAAAACGCGAATTTAACATCCAATTCCGATTCAGACTTGGCACATCGCAATATTTCCATCATCACAAGATCTGTTATAAAGATAGTAGAGATCGGACCATTTCTTCTGGTACCTTCCCCAAAAAGGGTCAAAGTTTTGAATAACCAAAATGATTATAAAATCCCAATCAAGCATTCGGTGCTCTTCAGCTTTCACACATTCCATTAATTCCATTAACACAAGATCTGCTGTGAAGATGGTAGGCATCGGTCCACTCCTTCTGGTACCTTTCCCATATAGAGGTCAAAATTTTGAATAGCCATGAAGATCATAAAACGCGAAATTACCGTCCAATTCCGACTCTGACTTGGCACATCTCAATATTTCCATCAACACAACATCTCTAATAAAGATGGTAAAGATCGGACCATTTCTTCAGGTAGCTCCCCCACAAAGCGTAAAAATTTTGAATAACCAAAACGATAATAAAATCCGAAATAAGCATCCGGTACTCTTCAACTTTCACACCTCCCATTATATCCACTAACACAAGATCTGCTGTGAAGATGGTAGACATCGGTCCACTCCTTCTACTACCTTTCCCATATAGAGGTCAAAATTTTGAACAGCCATGAAGTTTGTAAAACGCGAAATGAGCTTTCGATTTCTTTCAAACTCGGCACATCTCAATATTTCTATTTACACAAGATCTGGTACAAAAATGGACAATATCGGTCCACTCCTTATGGTTCCTCCCCCACGAAGGGTTAAAGATTTGAATAACCAATTATTAAATATGAAGTAAGCATCCGGTTCCCCTAATATTTCATACATCGCATTATTTCTACAAGCACAAGATCTGCTGTGAAAATGGGATATATCGCTCCACTCTTTCTGGTAGCTCCCCCACAAAGGGCCAGAATTTGAAATAGCCATGAAAGTCGTAAAACACGAAATAAGCTTCTGATTCTCTTCTAATTTCACACATCCCATTATTTCTACTAATACAAGATCTGATGTGAACATAATAGATATCTGCCAATCCCTTTCTGGTACCTCAACCACAAAAGGTCAAAATTTCCAATACTTTTATCTGTCATAACATGAGAAACCAATTTTAATTTATTTACATGAATTTTTCATTTTTTCAAATAATTAAAAATCTAAAAATTAATATAAATTCAATAATAATTCGTTTTTTTTGCTCCAACACAAACTTTTTTAAATCAAATTCCCTCTCCCATGGCAACTCTGCCCTTTGCTGTCTTGCAATTCCCTTTGGTCTTATAATTTATCTCCCTCCCTTCATTGAAATGTGCACCAAAAATAAACACAGGTACTTATTTCTTATTTTTTTTTTGGCAAAAGAAATCAGAGTAATTCCATTGTCTCCGGCTCTCTCGCGGCGTTGCTCTCCTTAATATCTGTCTGTCTACGCAGCATTCATAATGAGACAAATATTAAGCCATCATTAAACAGAGACGCAACCAATACCAATACATTAACAATATGGACACATATTGTTTCAAGTGTTTGTTTTGATTAAATTGCAAAAGAAACAACAAAAACAATCAAAAGGAGACAGCATCTCCTGAGACAAATGAAAAAAAAGGAATCACTCGTTTTGTTGCCAAGTAAAGAATGGGCAAGTTTTTTTAGTTTTCTAAAAGATGCAGTTTCGTTTTGACAGGATCAGTATGAATGCTATGCGGACCAGCCTGGAAGGCTTCTTAATTTAGAGGTTCACTCTCATATAGTTACAACTCTCTCTCTCTCTCTCTCTCTCTCACTCTTGATCATGCGGGTTTTTCCAGACACACCTGAGTAAGGGAGTTCTATTCACCTTATAATTGTTTGAATGATACCCATAGTAAGTCACAAGCGGATACTACAACGAAAAAAAATGGTTATGCTGACGTAAGGCAGGAACCTTCGCCTCCTTATGTAAAGGACCCACTGGAGTCATGAGGACGCCAGCTTTTGCAGTTCTCAGGGCGGCATACTGGCAGATACTATCCATTTCCTTACACTAATATATACAGACAGCATTGCAGCCGCTATGTAGCTAACCACAGACCGACCCATCGTTTTACTGATCCAACCTCGTATGTCCCAAAATCTATTTTATTTTTGGTTAGATATTTCGGATTTGCTGCACAATAAACTTGAAATCGATGGAAGATATATATATGGGAACTATATTGACATTAGAATCGATTAGCATCGATTATTGCAGGGTTCATCATTGGGACAATCGGACAATAAAAGCCACCCATAATTTGGTTTTCGAAAAAAAAAAAACAATTTTGAAATTTCTCTTTCAGTAATGTTTACCATATCGACGTCGAAACCACTACTACCAAAATTCTGAGTCGGTGGACTCAATCTTAAAAATGACTACCTCCAATTTATGGTCGCCATAATTGTCCTAGCAGATCAAAAATTGAACGGCTACCGAAAAAAAATGTTTTCACTGGCACAGTTCAAAATTTTACCATGCAAAAGAGGCCAAGAAGTGCCGGTAGGGTTGAGAAGAGTGAAGTTCGGACGGGCCGAACTTTTAATATCCTCCACCATTTGGAAGGAACTTGAAAAATTTCAACAAATTCCAAAAAATACCATTTAAATTACCTTTATTCGGGGGCTATACGGAGACGCGGACATGCGTAATCGTTTGGCATAGGCTGCAGTACTCATTAAAATCTTCAAATACGAAATTTGAAACAATTCCGGTGAATTATGTCACTAAAATCATCAAAATACCGAATGAAGGGAGGTTATACAAAGACGTGGACATGCATAGGAAATTTTTAGGCATAGGCTGTAGTATCCATATCAAACTTCGAATACGAAATTTGAAGCAATTCGGGTGAATGATGTCGTTAAAATTATTAAAAGACCGAATATCGGGAGGTACCGTTATATGGGGCCTATACAAAGACGTGGACCGGCATGCGAAATTTTTAGGCATAGACTGTAGTACCCACAACAAACTTCGAATACGAAATTTGAATCGCTTCGAGTGAATGACGTTGTTAAAGTCATTAAAAGACCGAATATCGGGAGGTACCGTTATATGGGGCCTATACGAAGACGTGGACCCGCAAACGAAATTTTTAGGCATAGGGTACTACCATAACAATCTCGAATACAAAATTTGAATCGATTCGAGTGAATGACGTTGTTGAAGTCATTAGAAGACCTAATATCGGGAGGTACCGTTATATTTGGGCCTATACGAAGACCTGGACCGGCAACGAAATTTTTAGGCATAGGCTGTAGTACCCATAACAGACTACGAATACGAAAATTGAAGCAATTCGGGTGAATGACGTTGTTAAAGTCATTAAAAGACCGAATATCAGGATGTACTGTTATATGGGGCCTATACAAAGACCTGGACGGGCATACGAAATTTTTAGGCATAGGCTGTATTACCCATTTCAAACTTAGAATACGGAATTTGAGGCAATTCGGGTGAATGACTTTAATAGTCATTAAAAGACCGAATATCGGGAGGTACCTTTATATGGGGCCAATACGAAGACGTGGACCGGCATAGGAAATTTTTGGGCATAGGCTGTAGTACCCACTACAAATTTCGAATACGAAATTTGATTTCGGGTAGATAATGTCGCTAAAATCATCAAAATATCGAATAGCGGTAGGTACTGTTATATGGGGGCTATACCGACATGGTGCATTTACGAACTTAACCTGCCTACTGGG